ACTGCATTTTTGATACCATTTCCGACAACCACTGCACTTGAAATGGCATATTGAATGTGGCAGTGGCGGAAATGATCGAATGTTTTCTTTGTTGTATATACATTTCCGGCACTTATTGCAGCTGTAATTCAAAACGAACATTATCATCAGTAAGTGCAAACGTATTTTAAAACAAACATTATCGTCATTAATTGTGTCACTAATTGCGACATTATCGTCATTAATTGTGTAACTAATTGCGAGTGTAAATTAAAAGGAAAAGATCAAAGATATGCATTTGTAATAACACTTATTACTACATTATATTAGAGTGCAGTGTGCGTCAAAACTCAGAAGGTTTACTGTAAAAGAAGTATACCCTTTGCGTACTTTATCGTCATCGCTCTTCCTTTGCATGTGTGGATTATTCATCGTACGATACCGTAATGCTGGTAAAAACGATCTGTGTCAGGAAAGCGTTTAGGCGTTATCATGACAATTGACTAATGCCACCGTCTACAGCACATGGCTTTCTTTAATAAGTGATATTACATTTCTTGCAATATAAAAGTTATAATGCTTGATCATTATCATCATCATCAATCCCTTAAACCAAGAGATCATTGGGGCACCACAGTTGACTTCGCAACTAATTCTCTCCATCTTTCCTTGTTTTGTACTGCCCTTTCGGAATCTCCAAATCCTATAGCTTTCCACTCCTTATTAATGTCTTCCCACCTCTTTTTCTGTCTGCCTCTTCTTCTGCACCTTTGCACTGTGCCTTGCAAGATTATTTGTGCCAGTCCAGATGATCTTGAGACATGGCCATACAACTTCGGTTTGCACTGTTTTTTACAGTGGTCAATGTGTCTTCATAGAATCCGATGGTTTGTTGGATCCAGTAGTGGATATCTTCGTTGGATACTTGGGCAATGTATGAGATGCTCATGATCTTGCGGTATCAAAGTTTTGAATCCTTTTTTGTAGATCCGATATGAGCGTCTATGTTTTACAACCTTACAGAAAGAAGGAAATGAGAATTGAACATATCAGCCTTTTTTGGAACCAAAAGCAATCTTTCCATATTGGTCTCTACCTTGTTATTGTTGCTGTTGTCGGGGCAATCCTGCAAAGTAGTTCTGGTTTGGCGCCCTCATCTGTGATAATTGATCCCAAGTACATGAAGTTGTGACTCTTTCCAGCTTCTGTCTACTGACCTTAATTTCTGCTCTGATGACATTGGTGTTGTTTGTCATCAGTTTGGTTTTCTAGACGCTAATCTCCATACCGTATGCTGTGGAGGTTGTGTTGATGCACTCAACCAAGTCAGCCATTTCTTTTTCATCTCCTGCTAAACCATCAATATCATCTGCGAAGCGAAGGTTGCTGATTGTTCTTCATCCGATGCTGACAGTGCCCTTGTTGTCTTGGAATGCATCGGCCATGATTCTTTCCATGAGAATATTGAAGAGTGTAGGTGACAGTACAATTACTGTGTAATTGTTGTTTGAAACCAATATACCCTGTTTTTATTGACGGTGACAACACTGGTAGCTTTGTCATAGAGGTGCTCAACAACCAGCAGCAGGTCTGAGCTGATGTTGTACATCCTCATAGTGTCCCATCTGTCTGCGTGTCGTACCCTAACAAAGGCCTTTTTGAAATTTATAAAAACGTGTTAAAAATTCTGCTTATGCTGAAGATATTTCTCGCATAGGAGTTTGAGGTTAAAGATTTGTTATGTGGTGCTTCTTCCAGCTCAAAAGCTTCCATGCTTCTTACCTTTTCTCTGCATAAGGCTGTTGAGAATTATTGAGCATGACTTTGCTCGTTTGACTGATCAAACTGATTGTTCTGTCGTTTTGGCATAGTTGTAGGTTTCCTTTCATGGGGAGAACAATGACAAAGGATTGAGATATGTGGTGGGCCATTCTCCTGTCTGCCATATCATTTTCCAGATTGTTGTTAGGACTGTGACTATCTCTTCTCCTCCAGCTTGAGTAAGCTCTGCTGGTATGTTGTCAATGCCTGCTAACTTTATTTTATTTAGTGAATTAACTGCAATTCTACTTCGTGAAGAATTGGGATGTCATCAATTATTTGTCGGAGATAAATTTATTACTGCTGGACCACTTTGAGTCTTACCTATGCAGAATTCCAAGCAATATTATGTCTATTGCTTAAGGATCTCATGATCTTCTGTGGGGCATGTTGCTGATTTGTCTTGGATAGTGGTAGTTTTCCATTGTTTATGGGCTGTAAGATCTTTCACCAGTCGAAATGTAATTTTGCTGTCCTTTCTAAAAGGCTTATCTGCAATCAAATAAAATCACTATAATGGAGTGTAGTATGATTGTTTTGATTCTGATAAAACAGTCGCGTAGCAAGACATTATGGTCCCTTCAACGCCTACTTAAAATGTTAATCTCGTACCAACCAAATTAAATTTTATTCTTAAAGCTAATTATACACTGCATATTTGCGCGATATGATAGACGTACTTCGGCACTCCATTCTGTTGCCCGATTGGTTATTATTTATTTTACAAAATAGAAGTGTAGCTTTACAAAACCTCATACCGATGAGTGTAGAACGAGGGGCAGATCTTGGGGTTGGATTCGGTAAAATGGGGTGGGGAGAGATGGGGGTGGGGATAGGCGCCTCCACCTCCACCACTAATGATAGATGCGAAAAAACCGCATTATCTCTTGAAGTAAGTTTTCTGCCCAGTTAGATGATTAAATATGATACCCCGGAAACGCTTAAGAGGCAGGAACTTTCGGGATCCCCATTTAGAATTTAATACACACATATCCCCACTCTTATTTATTATACTTCACGAACACCCGCACCCTCCATCACCCTCTCCCCAACACCAACCCGATGATATTCCTGAATCGGAACTGATACCGGATCGTTGTAATGAAGTATGAAACTAGAAATATGTCTATTCAGGATTTACACATGGTCCTTTGAAAATAAGTTCTAAGTTACCTTTATATAATAACACCGACGGCTGAGCAGCTTTATCATGGAAAGATAAATTAAATTGTCAATATTCATAAGCACGCCATGAATATTATAGCATTTGCCATGCTCTTTGTTCATTTTCAAATCGAGCTAAGATTAATGTTCGCTGAGAAGTATCAGTCCCATTAGCAATTAAAGCATAATTGTCCATCAGATTCATTTATCTGATACATTATTCCTCTAGCTTTTAAGTATAGGTATTACGCTGATTCCTTATGCAGATATAACTTCTATAGTTTTGCTAATTAATTGATGTCTTTTTTGGCAGCAGACATTTAAAGAATATACAATAATTTACTTATTGACAACGCTAAAAAATGTTGTTTATCTGACAGCAGACCAATTTATCGCCGTAGGTCAATAAATGCCAAAACCTATTGGCCATTGACAAATAATATCATTAGAAATGATGCAATGAACATATGGTGTCACAGGCACCATGGAAAACTTGACGGACATTGGTGACTATTGGTGACTTTGCCAACTGGCATCAAAGCTAATATGCATAAAACAAGAAATGTGCAAATCTTCATGGACATTCTTTTTAAGATTCATATTATCCTTGCAATGTATACTGCTTTTGTCAATTAGAAGTCGAGCTGAAAAAATAATCAACCTTTTCTAATTATTGGTGTGGTCGTTGTAACAGACACCAAGAGTTGGATATCTTCTTTTAAGGGTGCATTTTTTATATGCTTGTATCATAAATATGTTCTTTTATAAGCCCGTTTCATTGCAGTTCTTTGTAAGCCTGGCCGTTCAGTCCATTGTAACCTCGTTCGTTTGCACTGCTTTGTAAGCCCGTTCCATTGCAATAATTTGTAAGCATGTTGAACTGCAACCTTTATCTCTTTCACAAAGAGCCATTAACACAAACTTAATCATGAATGCTGATTATTATTCACTGTATCAGTACCTTGATTACGGAAAATGAATTTAGTAATATATATATATATATATATATATATATATATATATATATATATATATATATATATATATATATATATATATATATTTCTATAACTTAAGCAATAATTATGATTTCTTTTTAACTGATATAAACGCTTGTTGCTATGAGCCCATCGTTGGCTGAACTCTGACACATGGAAAATGTAGGCGTTTGCAACATGTACACATTTGTTTTCGTATAACTTTTATTTATTTGCCAATATCAATATTTTCAATGATGTCTCAGTCGTGCCGTTAATGTATGTATGCATATTTTCGGTCTCAACCGTGAAGTTTATTTAGGTATGCATGTTTGCAATCGGGTCTCAGTCGCGCTGTTAATGTATATATGCATACTTTCCCCACAGAATGTTTAATGTTAAAGAAACTGATGGGCAAACTACTAAGCATAAACAAATCTTCATTATACCTTAACTAGGTAGTTTATATCTTGTGCTCTATACAATATTGCTAAAACATTTCCAGGATTTAAAAAAGATGTAAAATATCTGTAACTCTCCAACTCAGTCAAAACAAGCCAAACTTTTTATGAATATGGTAATTTGCTCAGTCCGTACAAAATCAAAATGGCCCCGGGTGGCCGAGAAATCTAAGTCCTCGGGATGCCAAGTGATCTAAAACCCTCGCCTTTACCGGTCACTGACACCTCACTCCTGTCTTCTTGCGTTCGAGTCTCGGGTTCTGTCAGCATGGGTATCTTAGCAAGCTGGCAAACTTATGTGGGTTTGTGGTTCTTCCCGATGATTTTCCGGGTTCTTCCACCACCAGTTATACTGACCGCCATGTATATCCTACTTTGCGCTGAGAAATGGAGTTACACCAAAATACATCAACAGCAACATCATCAACAAAAACAACAAACCCAAAACCATTATGAATATGGTAATTTGCCCAGTCTGAACTGAACCAATTCAATCATTTTTATGCATAATGTAAAACAAGAAATATGAAAATTAAAGCAAGCCCAAAATTTGCTTTTTCAATCCCTATGTGAATAGTTACCTTCTGCTCTTGCAACCGCAACGGTGGCCTAGTGGTTAGAGCGTCAGCCTTGGACACGTGATGTCGTGGGTTCGATTCCCTGTCGAGTTATACCAAAGACTTACAAAAATGGTACTAACAGCTGCCTCGCTTGACGCTTAGCATAAAGAGTTTAGTACTAGGACTGGTCGGCCTAGTATCAGGATAATGTGACTGGGTGGGACATCATGCCATGTGCTTGTGGCATGATGCCACGTGTATGTGGCATGATGCCCCAGTGCTAGACATCGTAGCAATATGACTGAAAAATTGTTAAAGCTACGTTAAAAATCATGATCACATGACACTCACACACACACGCGCATATATATATATATATATATATATATATATATATATATATATATATATATATATATATATATATATATATATATATATATATATATGTCATTGAACATGATCCTGAGACATTAGTATGTGAACTAAATTAAAGCCATACAAAATATGAGATTACCCACAAAATGGTAATATATGTGAAAGGCAGAGCTTATTCCATAAAATTTTGACTTATTCTCGTAATAGAATCCCTCAAAATGAATTTGAATTTAATTAGGTTAATTGACCTGAAAAATAAATTTGACTACCATCTTCAGAAATGATTCATTTAGTTTTTAAATCTTTTTCCCAGAAGGGGTCATTAACCTCGTTGTAATGCTAAGCAGAGTTTTCACTTTGCCATAGTATTGATCAAGAGCAAAATTTAATATCTGCAAATGACCAGTCTTTGATGTCACATTACCAGAACAATTAACCATCAAAACAGCTAAGGCTCAAACACTTGCAAATGACCTGTTTTCGATGTCACATTACCGAACAATTAATCAGGATAACAGCTAGCGCCCAACACTTGCAAATGACCTGTCTTTGATGTCACATTACCGGAACAATTAACCATCAAAACAGCTAACGCTCGAACACTTGCAAACGACCTGTCTTTGATGTCACATTACCAGAACAATTAATAATGATAACAGCTAACGCTCAAACACTGGCAAATGGCCCGTCTAGGATGGACCGTTTTATGCAAATAATTGCCGCCACAGTCAATGAATAGAATTACCTTGTAATCTGAATAAAAATTAACAAGCCTTGTACTGTTCTTCATGAGAAAGGTGGCAGTGAAAACACTGTCTAGAATAGATTGCAAGCAAAATCAATGTAGCACACAATGAATTTGAAAATGTACCATACATTTTACATACTGAATGGATAAAATGGACACATTTCGGTCTTATTTTTTAAGTGAACACACTCGGTCTTTTTATATAAATTGGACACACTAAATCTTATTTTTAAATTGGAAACACTCGGTCGTTTTTTATAAATTGAAAACACTCGGTCTTATTTTTAAATTGGACACACTCGGTCTTATTTTAAATTGGACACACTCGATCTTATTCTTAAATTGGACACACTCAGTCTAAAAAAAATAAAATTAGACACATTAGGTGTTGTTTTTTTAAATTGACACACTTGGTCTTATTTTTAAATTGGACACACTCGCTCTTGTTTTTTTTTACTGGGTGTTGTTTCTTTAAATTGGACACACTCGATCTTATTTTTAAATTGGACACACTCGGTCTTGTTTTATTTTAATTGGACACACTCGGTCTTATTTTTAAATTTGACACACTTGGTCTTTTTTTAAATTGGACACATTCGGTTTTATTTTTAAATTGGACACACTCGGTTTTATTTTTAAATTGGACACACTCGGTATTATTTTAAATTGGACACATTCGGTCTTATTTTAAATTGGACACTCTCGGTCTTATTTTTAAATTTTACACACTTTGTCTTTTTTAAATTGGACACATCCGGTCTTATTTTAAATTGGACACACTTGGTCTTTTTTAAATTGGACAAACTCGGTCTTATTTTTAAATTGGACACACTCGGTGTTATTTTTAAATTGGACATACTCGGTCTTATTTTAAATTGGACACACTCGGTCTTATTTTAAATTGGACACACTTGCTTTTTTTAAATTGAACACACTCGGTCTTATTTTTAAATTGGACACTCTCGGTTATATTTTTGAATTGGACACACGTGGTCTTTTTTAAAATTCTAATCAGATGATAAGTTTCTTATTCCTAAAAGAAAATGTTCGTTAAAGCCGGATATACTGTGAGAGTATCATAAGGTTTTGTTGAATACAAGAACGTGTGTACGAGTTTCCAAAAGCTGAGATTACTTTATTCTATGATCACTTGTTGTGTGTGGTAAATTTGTGGCGTTCAAAACGTTACACCAATTCCTTCACTACGGTTCTTTGCTAGGGAATGACCTCCTGCGGTGTAATTTACCCAGGGTGGATGGATAAAAAAGTAATATAGATCAAGGATATTGAAGAAATGAAACAATGAGTCTACTTTCAATGAACAAATATAAAATTTGATCAATTTAACAATATAATTTCAAATGGAAGAAATCAATTTCTTTGCTACAAAAAAGAAGAAAATGTACTAACATGTACTCAATACAAATTGCGCTTTATTATTACTTGTCAGTGACAGAATTAATACAGTAGCATCATAGCCTACAACTCGTGACCTTGAGATGAATGATGAATGACATCATCACCTTTCTTTCCGGACATTGAATTTTCCGTTCCTTCCTGCACTGCCAACCTTTGTCTAATCGTCTGAACCTGGACTCTTGCCAGTCAAAACTTGAACGATTTGACGATCGTATCTAGAGCTGCAGTTCGGTTATGAAGTTCTTCTGAAAAATTCTGCCGTAGAATTTGCTCAGGAATTTGCCCAGGAAGTTGTTTCCTTAAATAAATAAAATGTTGCGCAATAAATAATAGGTCACCTTTTCCATGTTCATAGATATATGTATATAATCATTCAGCTCAGAGAGTACACTGCCTTAATTCTGTCGTAATGACTTACTTTTTCACTAGCTTTGTTTACAAATAGAGACCGCCATTACATATATGCTGACCTTAATTTGGGTCACACTTAGCGGGAACTCGTGGCTACCGTTTCACGGCTAACACGTATGTGTCTGTATTTAACTCTTTATGACTTCTTTACATTAATACCGTCTAGTGTTAAATTACATATGGCTTAGCCCATCAAATCTAGCTACTATAAAATAGTTTACGTGATCAATAAATATTACGAACTAGTATATAAATATACACTCAATATATAGCATACCACACGGAGATTTAATTTATAAATCTACGAAACATCACCCATCATGTATTTGGCAGAATTTCGCGCAATTCCAACGCATTCCTACGTATCGAATACTCCGTTACATGCTATATTGTCAATTCTCTCAACAAACATTTAATTACATGCAATCTTGTCAATTCTATCAATGAGCTGATAATAAGAAAATCAAAGAATAAAATGTCGTGACTAACATTTCACTAAATCCCTGAAAAATGAAATCATACATACCTACATCACACATCAAAACATTTGCACATAAATCAACAAATGAATTAGTATATTAAAAATCTGGAAACTAAGATTACGTACCTTTGCCGTTTCTTATTAGTTTTGTTTTTCTTCAGAACTTTCAATGTATAGTCTGTCTCTTATCTGGTACAACTATCTCGCCTTACTGCAATCCCGAGAAACGTACTTTCTACGTTCTCGGAGCCCTTTCTGACTCTCGCAAGTAAGATTGAAGACTGAAGCAATTTTTTCCAAGTAGAACCACTAATTCCTTACAAGAGGTACGCCCTTAAGTTTCCATTAACCAATCAGAATCGACTGTTTCTTAAATTCTCTTATGCAGAATTTTCGATTGACGAAACAGCTAATCATGGCGCAATTAACTTTCCTTTGAACTATCAATTATTGACGTGCTTCCCCTTTTACCGGTCGAGTTTGGATGACTGTCATGCCAAAACCCTTGTACCATAACAGACGTCTCAGTCAAATTTCGTGACGTGGAACCGAATTTCCTTTGACGTTCAGAGATGAAATGAGAAAAATCATATAACTGTCTCTAGCCCTTTCAACTTTAATTAAGTTAACTTTGGTACAATTCATTTATTTAATACTTCTTAGAGTTTCGAAATTCGACACATCACATTGTGAAATAAGGATATACGATTTTACTGAGATGTGGATAATAAGTTTTCTTTGATTATAGTATAGATAACAAAGTTGTAAAAATATTTATGTAAGAATTAAAACTTTCATATCAGTAATAACTTAAAAAGTTTGCTTAATCCTCCAACTCTAAGGCGCATTTACATTTATCTCAAAATACCTCTCTTAAATCTTGCTCTCGCCTGATCAGTCTTGAAAATTTCGTGCTGTCCATATTGAAAAAGTAACGGTCGCATCCTGCTTGGGTTATGCACATAAATTCATTTTACACAAAAAGAATCCAAAAGTTTACTATAGAGAAAGTTAGTTTTACATCTCTTGACGAATATGCATTATAAGGACAACCTTGGTCATTTACCTTGCTTTCTAAAAAAATAATACTCTTTCTTTTTGAAGCAATTTTGGATACATACGAACATAGAAGAATGATACATTCCAGATGGTATTTTTCTCGCTGAAGATCAGTGTACAGACAGCATTAGTCTAGTACGAATTCGGCAATATGATTTGGGGGGAAGATTTTATATATATATATATATATATATATATATATATATATATATATATATATATATATGTGTGTGTGTGTGTGTGTGTGTGTGTGTGTGTGTGTGTCAGATTTGCAGGATCTGAAGAAAACAACAACAAAAAAAATCCGCGAAACAGGTGTTGTATCCATATGATCGTTCAATAAATTTGACCCTTACATCGCAGATACTCTGGTATAAAACATGAATTTGCAGAATATAGCCTGTGTTTTATGCATATGATGATTAGGTAAATATGAACCCTTTCGAGTTACGTAGGAATTTAGTATGGAATTGACCTTGTGGGCACATTATCAAATTGTGCGTTTGTTTAAATTGTGATTCAGTTTTTTTTAATTAAAAATGATGTTAATATAGGCCAGACTAATGTTTATCACCTGAGCATTTTTTATACAGTTGCATAATGTTGTACCTTTCAGA